GGTGAGCCACCTACAAATTTAGTGGACTATATACAGGGCTTTCGTCATCGCCTGTATGTAGCGGTGGAAATGGCAAGGAAAAATTTAGCTGGTGCTCAGGCTAATATGAAGAGACTCTATGACCGTAAAGCCAAGTATCGTGAATTCAGCCCAGGGGATCAGGTGTTGGCTTTGATGCCACTGCAGGTTTCACCATTCAAAGCCAAGTTTGCCGGCCCGTACACTGTTGAGAGTAAAGTGTCAGATCAAAATTACCTGATTGCTACTCCAAATCGGAGGAAGTTGTCTCAACTGTGTCACGTCAACCTCCTGAAACCGTACTATGTTCGTGATACCGTTGGGGATAGCTTCATGGTTAAAAAGTTGGGTGTGGGCCCCATAATGATGGTTGATTCTGTGCTTTCAGATCGAAGGTTGGCTGAGGAGTGTGATGTTAAGGCACCAGATGAACCTGTTATGTCTGGTAGGCTGAGGAATTCGGAGTCGTTATGCCAATTGGATCGCTTGTTGAGTCACTTACCGGCAGCACAGAGAGATGAATTGGCGGCTTTAATCGGGAAGTTTGTGGTACTGTTTGGCGATACGCCATCGCGCACAACTCTCGTGGAGCATGATATCGACGTGGGGGACAGTCCTCCAATTAAGCAGCGATTTTACCGTTGTCCTGCAGATAAGCGTAGGGTGCTGGAGGCTGAGGTCCAGTACATGTTGGACAATCAGATTGCAGTACAGTCGTTCTCCAGTTGGGCGTCGCCTAGTCTGCTGGTTGGCAAATCAGATGGGTCTCCGCGGTTTTGTAACGACTATCGTAAGGTTAATAAGGTGACAAAAACAGATTCTTACCCGTTGCCACGGATGGAGGACTGTATTGACTTGGTGGGCCCTGTTCCTGCAGTCCTATAGTTTGGACATTCGGCACATTAAGGGGAAGGACAACGTTGTGGCGGATGCTCTCTCTCGTGCCCCGGTGGGGTAGGGAGTTTCTCTGGCTCTGGATATTTGGTGTTGTTTTGGGGATCCCTTTGGGGCCTCCGTCTTAAGGGGGGGGCTGTGATGCCCCTGTGGGTTCATCAGTGGAGAGGGTGTGGCTGTCCTGTCTTGGCTGCATTGATTGCAGTGATTGCATTAACTCAGGGCACCTGGGTCTGGTGCTCTGCAGCTATTTTAAAGCCTCTCTGCTCCTGTCTGCTCTCGCGCTGTTTTCCTGCAGGCACCCGGCTCTGATGAGTATAACCAATGTGTTGAATTGACCAGTGTTGTGCAAATAAACACCTTTACCTACCCGTTGACATGTTGTGTCTCCTTTTTGTTGTGGCCTTTTGAGCCAGGTCGCAACAACGACACAAGGCGATGTTATGTCTGCTGCAAAATGAATAACATGCAGTAGTCTCCTGATATTGTCTGATGAGAATCGGTTTTTCATAAAGCCTGTTTGGTCATAATGAACTAATGTCGGAAGGACTTTCTCCAATCGTCGAGCTATTACTTTTGCATAAAGTTTGATTTCTGAATTTATAAGTGATATTGGTCTAAAACTTGTGCATAAGTTTGGGTCTTTCCCCTTCTTGTGTATGAGAGAAATTATAGCTGTATTGATGTCCTTTTGGAAATGTCCTTCTTTAAGTGCTACCTGAATCATTTCCAATAATATTGGTCCTAAATCAGGCCAAAACTGGGAATATAATTCCGGAGGGATACCATCTATACCAGGGGATTTGCCAAGGTTCATGTCTTCCAATGCTTCAGATAATTCTTTAAGTGTTATTTCACAATCTAAGCGATCAATGTCCTCAGGGGATAGATGTGGTAAATTCAGATCCACAAAGAAATTCTAACTCTGCCTTTGATGTCTGTACTTGAGATGTATATAAATGTTTATAGAACTGTTCAAATTCATGATTAATACGAACTGGATCATAAAGGACAATGCCATCATTATTCATAATTGAGGATATTTGGGCCAGCTGCTCGGCCATCCCTTCCTGAAAGGTCAATAAGTCCTTAATGGGGACCACAGAAACCTCGTTAGAGGGGAGGTTCTCTCTGTTAACAACATCCTCAGGAATTATGAAGACCTGCCCACGGACAAGGGCACTTTTTAAATGTTTTACCAGATGTGGGACATTGGGCATGAAATAAAGCTGCCTGTCTGGTTTTGCTGGATGTGGCACCGATGTTTTATTTTGGTCCACCCCAAAGGATTTCCACATGGCTCGGTTAGGGCTACCCATGTCGGTGGTGACATCAAGCACATGTAGCCCTATGGATGCTGCCCTCTGTATTATATCAATAATGATTGGCCTGTACTCTGCTCCATTGGTAGAATTGCCAGTGTAATGATATGCCACTACTTGCTTCCACCGTGTTGTATTTCCAGCCAACATAAACACACAAGCATGTGTTGCCACCCCTGTGTGACCTGGTAAAGTCACATCACTGTGTTTGCCTGTAATCATGTCTAACTCCACACTTGGTGTGATTGCCATTTCATCCAAGGTCAACACACACTCCCTTTCAAGGTCTGTCAATATATCTGCCTTCAATTTGAGGAAATCAAAGACCTCTGTCAACACACCAGGCTCAAACTTAACACATTGCATCCTTCTTTGCAGTGTCCTTATTCCTGGAAGGGGAATCTGCAATTCCTGCAGAGTTTTGTAACCCGTTGGCACGCAAAGCAAATTTTTAAAGCCTTCTTAATTGTCTCATTGCTCCATTTCATCCCCTTTGTGGTGAGTCTGCCTAATGCCTTCAGTTGGTCTTTTGAAAACGTTTTCTTATATTTCTTGTCCCTAATTTTCATTGTTTTCTTGAGAGCTGCATTTTCCTTCCTGATTTTTCTTAGTGCAGCCTTTGCTTTTTTGGTGATTCCTTCTTGGCTCTTTAATTTTCTGTTTAATTTTTTTAATAGATCTGTTTGACTGGCTGCTGGTTCCCTCGTATGCTGACTGGCTGCTGGTTCCCTCGTATGCTGACTGGCTGCTGGCTGAGTGGGTGGTGTCCGCCCTCCCTGTCTCTCCTCACTAGCCATGTCCTCTCTTTCTTCACCCTCACTTTCCTTTCTCTCAGTCTCCTCATCCCTTCTTCCCTCAATCTTTGAGACTAATGTAAGTAGAAGACATTGCACTGTACATTTTCGAACATTTAAAATATCATACCACTTAAAAATAAGAAATATTACTTTTGTTACTAAGAGTTCATACTTATTATACCTGTGTCACCTTTCATACTATAGCTGTGATTGTGAAGATAAAACTTCTTTGCAGCAATGTTGAGCCAATCATGAAATGAGTGAAACTGGATTCGCCTGTCAATACACTGATATTTATTGAGAGACAAACGGCCGGAGGATTAACAAAGCAACTCGCACTGTTCAATGCAAGCTGCCAAAATTAACTCTACCCACACAAGACAGAAACATCTCTATATATCCTTTAAAGGAGGGGTCCCAACAGCCCGCCTTTTCCCCTAATCGATTACAGATGAACAGACAAAGAAACTCTGTCTGAGTGGGCAGTAAACCCTTCCCCCCCACACAGAGAAAGAGTGGTCACTCATGTGAAGTTTCTCAGTACAGCTACGCATCAGATGGAAATATTCCTTTACAGTGATCATGAGCTATGGGCTTTGTAGATACAGGTCCCGGGGTGAATCGTGGTGCAGGGGCCCTTCTCTTTTTGACCACAGGGCGATGCACGAAGATGGTGGGTATAGCCTCTGCTCTCAGCCTAGTCTTGCCCTCTTTTGTCTTGACAAACTGGTCTACATCAAAATGTGCCGGCGGAGTGACTTGAGGTTACTTCACACACAGAACAACTCAGTTTTGTCTGCCCACATACATATTCCATAATGGTTGAACACACAGTATTAGGAAACACTTTATACTTACAGTACTGGACATGTTATACTCATTATATACTGTATACAATATGACCAAGAATGTGAGACAACTTTATAGAAATTCATATCACATCTGTTACTGCTGCCATTTGTCATACTTTGTTAAACTCACAAATAATAAAGTTCCATGACTTCAGTTGGGAACAAAGACCACACCTTATATCCCCAAGGCAATTTCCCATCCAATAGGTGTGCTATATAGGTGTGTATAACCCTTTCTCCTGTTTGTTACTCCCTCTTTCAGCACAAGAACCAGAGGGGGATTCAATGGAGCCTGAATACCTGCACTGAGACCCTCACCCTGCACCCTGAGTCTCAACTCTCAGTGTTTTTCAAGCCTTTCCCTGTTTTTTTATATTAAGCTTTCCCAATGGTGTGGTTTTCGTTTTGTGAAAAAGTGCAAATGCAGTGTTTGTATATAATTACCTCACATATTTTTTTGCTGTTGGTTGTGAAATTGCTCCTGCTGACTTGAGCCAGCCATTTTTTCCTCCGCTCTGTGTCAGTGGGGAAGCCATACATTCGTACTCCTTTCTCGGAGCGATTTGAGCATCCCCAGGCAGCACAGCAAACCAGGACAACACGGAGGAAAAGGCACAGACAAACTGCATGATATGCTATTCAATGTTTATTGAATTCCATGTATTTGCAATGGATGTTCCTAAAACAACACATTTAACATCATCATGCTGCTGCTGCTGCTGCTGTGTTGTGAACCGAGACACAGGATGTAGGACCCAAAAGCAGGACTCGGAGACAGTTGTCCAAAAATAGAATGTTCTTTAATAACAAAAACTAAATCAAAACCACTGACTTTTGTTACTGTATCCGTTTCATTTCTGCATCAGCCACTGTTCAAAGAGGATAAATAAAATGACATAGTATTAATTAAACATATTTAAATATGACCTGAGCAACATCTTCTAGAATCAATGTTGTCAAGAAGAGGCTAGGACGTTGAATAAAAACCTATTTGTCTCAACAGAAACTCCTCTCCTGTAATTTAGAGTGTGAGCAGGATACTCTCCCACTTGCAGCCATTATCACCGAGAAAAAGCCATTGTTACTGACTATCAATAGGACAGGAAGACTTTCATCAGGCCTAGGAAACACCCAGCCCTACAAAAGCTGGATTTCTCCAGGAGAGGAAGCCATTTCAGTCTTTGAAAAACTGCACACCAACAGGCTTGTAAAATAAGCTTTGAGCAGCTTCACGCTGATGCTGTTTGTTGTGCGTACAAAAGGATGGACATTTAGAAGGCTTGTGATGTTCACAGAGGAGGATGTGTGAGTGTGTGTTTGCACGCCGTGAACCTCTGAACCTTCCTGTGCTCACTCATACATCCCAGTGGACGTTACCTGACCAGAGCAGGGAGTTTTAGGTTTTTGCGCGTGCGTGTCTGTGAGCGCTGGAGGAGGGGGGGGCTTTTTATTGACATGATCAACAAGTGCACATGAGTGCGTTACTGATAACAGGTGATTCACTAGTTTGATAAGGCTCTTGCTTTAAGCACAAAGTCCTGCCAGGTACATCGAGCCTTCAGCCACTTCACCAAATCCCTTCCATCTCTCAGAGGACCCCTGCTGCTCTCAGGTAAACACTTTTTCTGCTTTTTCACTTCTTATTACTCTGAATTGTGGTTTTCTTTAACATGCACTGAGAAAACCTTTTCCTTTTGCATTTTTTTAACTGAATAACTGGTATTTTGTTGGCACTGTAATCAGAAAAGTGCAAACAAATAAATAATTTGGTGGTAAAAGTGGCAAAAGTTCTTTAAAATATATTTATAATAGTAAAATATGGTATGTTGGTGACTTTTTTTGTATACATTTACACTTTTACAAATACTTATAGGGAACTCTGTCTGCAGACATTTGTAAGAAAAAAGTAGTACATTTTAAAGGAATCAATTTGATCTAATCAGATGAAATGCAAATGTTTTGCCACACCTGTATGTGCTTATAATCTTGGTGTCCTCCTGCAGGTCCTTGTGTTTCTCCTTCTATCTGTTGACCACGCAGCAGCAACATGAGTGTGGACTCCCAAAAAGCGCGTAGAGCATGTTGCTCCAACCTCAAGGTTAGTAAAACGCTTAAACCGTGTTTCCCAGTATTGCAAAGTGTCAGAAGCCATAGATGGTTGTAATCAACCTCTGATAGGGCCAAGTTGTGAAACGTCATTATAAAATATTTTTCTCTAACCCTATCTCTTTGTATTTATCTTGGGTTTTTCATTTCTGTGTCAGTACTACAAATGCTTTTTCCCTTGACCTGCTACATTTTGAGGCTTTGAGACTAAATCAGAGTTTGAGTCCATTTAAAACGTTTTGTACTAGTTAAGGGAAGGAGATTATAGCTGATTTTGCGTGTAAATGAGTTTTAAAGAGCGTAGATAAGGCTTGTGATTGCCATTTGTTGGCAATATATTGTCAAAGTTTATCACGCTTAACTGATGATATGAGAAAATAGCAAATCAGTTGCATCTAATATTGATTGATACATTTGTGTGTGTAAACTTTTATCTTTGGAGCGTTATCTGTTCTCCTATCCTAATCACAACATTGTCTATGACCTACAGACCAGTGCAAATCCTTTTTTAATCTTTAACCATCTTTGTGTCAAGGCCACTTACAAGTAGGTTTTACTTGTGAAGCTAACAAGCTCTTAAAATGGGTCACGCTCATATTTGACTGAACTTTTGACTAAACTTGCTTCTGTTAAGTCTCAACACTTCAATCAACTGTACTGTATTAATTTCACTTGACCCAATGTGGTGTCAGCATTGTTCTGTTGATTACATTTCAACCAATCTAACCTGAGTAAAAGTAAATGCAATCATCTATGTTGCAAGAAGGTGTGAAGTACTGCAGGTCTTCCAAATGTGTAAGGTCATGAAATGAGTCAATCTGTTAATGGTCACCCTTTCCAGTTATGTAAGCCTTAAGGAATACTTTGATCCTTTCATTGGAATGAGCCCAATTCAACAACCTTTTATTGCATTGCTTGTTATGCAACGACAGGTTTTTAATCCTCTCACACGGAAGTCTTTTAGGAGAGAGGATTACTAATCATTTAACTAAAATATTCTCACCCCTTTTCTCCAAACCTTGTCAAGTCAAACTCCTAGAAAGGAATATTAACATGTTTTCTGTTTGTGTTTCCAGCTCTTCCTGGCCTCTATGGCATTTGTATACTTTTCCAAAGCCTTTGCTGGCGCCTATATGAAGAGCTCCATCACCCAGATCGAGAGGCGCTTTGATATCCCCAGCTCCCTCATTGGGGTTATAGATGGCAGCTTCGAAATGGGTGGGTAACATTTTTAATCTATATATTTTTTAAGACAAAGTTTTAAAAAAAAGAAAAAAACGATTAGCTACATCATGGTAAATAATGACCTTTGAATAATAAAATGTAGACATTTGGATTTATGTAATACAAGAATAATCCTTCCTGAAAGAAAAAATGGTATAATCCATATAAAAAACAAATACATTTTAAGACAAACACTTTCGTTTTTTTACTTAACTCCAAATAGTTCTACACTGGTATTTCCTTTGTTTTACTTTGTTTGATTTGTCCACCACTGGTAGCTTCACAGTTAGCGTACTTACATTAAAATGGTATCGATCTAAACTTAAAAATATGCATAATTTCCAAAATGTATATTTCTTTAACGGTCAAGTGATTTTGTAATTCTTCTTCCCCCCAGGTAACCTGTTGGTGGTCGCCTTTGTGAGCTACTTCGGTGCGAAGATGCACCGCCCCAAACTGATCGCTATTGGCTGTGTGATGATGTCTGCAGGATGTTTCCTCATAGCCCTGCCTCACTTCCTGCAGGGAATGTTAGTATCTTCTCTTTCAACATCATTGTTTATTTTTTCAACTGTGGCCTGATGATACACATTGTTAATTAAAATCAAATTATGTGGGTCTTTGAGGCAGAGACACATTTACTTGAATGGGAAGACTCAAATAATTTATATAATTCAGGGTATTATATAAAGGACTGAAACCTCCCCTTGCAAAAAACAAGATGGAAGCCAAGAGGTGTATAATGTCATAAAAAAACAAGCTATTTTAACTTTTTCTAATGTGTTAGGATTAGCCTTTTTTTTCTTTTTTCTGAGTCCTGTGAAAATGAGTAAAAAAAACTCAAAGTAAAAAAACAAAAACTTTGACACAATGTTATGAAACAAGAAAGGGTTAAGAAATAATACATGACCCGGCTTAGTTGTGTTGTGTTTTGACGCCAACAGTTAATAATTTCCCACAAAAATCTTAGATAGTTTTCTTGATTAGCCGTTTGGTAATCCATCCTTAGTTAGCACCCCACTGGCCATTTTAAAAGTTGTTGTTGGTGCTGCTATCCCATATTCAGCCCCAGTAGAGTGCTGCAGCATGGTAAACTAAACATTAGACTTCTTCTGAAATATTCTAGTCTGCCCTAAAATACATTTTAAAATAATAATAATGTGTCTGCATGTGTATGAGCTAATTGTGTATACTAACCACGTTACATGATTTTATTGAAATTATATTTATATTCCCGTTTTCTTTTCTTTTTTATATGGTCCATTCAAAATGTAGATGTGTAATGTTAAACACTTTTTTGTATAATTTCCAGGTATAAATATGAGACCAGTGTGTATCACAATAGTGATGTCAACAGCACTGAGAGCTTCCTGCCCTGCCTGTCCAACCACAGCCTGGCTGAAGCCGATAAGATGCCCGATTTAGAGACCAGAACAGGTAAATAGAAAACATATATGAACCCAAATGCATTCATAATTACAAGCATCAGGTTAGCTTAATTAAAAAAATCCAGTTTCATTTCACATTCTGACCCCAGTTTCCCTCCCTCAGCTTGTGAAAAGGCAGCCGGCTCCTCCATGTGGATCTATATATTCTTAGGAAACATGCTGCGTGGAATCGGAGAAACTCCCATCATGCCTCTGGGTATTTCCTACCTGGATGACTTCTCCAGAGAAGAAAACACTCCTTTTTATTTGGGTTAGTTACGTTTTACCTTCTAATGTCTATGAGCATTTGGATGATGTTGTACACGCAAATAGGCGCTTTTCCCTCCACCTGTATTTATTTAAAATTTGTATTTGCACATTAAAATGACCTAAATGGTAAACTGCCTAATGGAGTTCAGAAATGACACAAATAAATAATATCTAAATGTGACAAAGTGCAATGTCCAGCCTACTTCCTACAAATCCTATTAATCTCGGTTGTTGGTGTTCGTTCCTTTTTGTGTGTTCCTATCCTGTATTATTTGCATAAAAATGAAATGTTCCCTTTGTTTTCCTCATTCCCCAGCCTGCATCCACACAGTGGGAATCCTGGGACCGATGTTCGGGTTCATGCTCGGGTCATTCCTTTCCAAGATCTACGTGGACATTGGATCTATGGATTTAGGTACACAATATCAGGGAAAAAACATGATGTGTTAAAGTGGCACAACACGCAGACTATGGCAGGTTGTTCTTACCCATAAAGTCCTGGTTATCCTTGATTGATAAGACACATATTCAGACCTATGACACATAACCTCTCTGTCCAAATCCGGCAAATCCTGCAGCAAAACAGCTAACCCCTTTCTCTGTTTGAACCTAAGAGAGGCTAAATCAGACTCAGTTTTGATTGTGTTGACATAGTAGTTCACTTTTTACTGCTCTGATAAGCGCTGTTGACAGACCCTAATGTCTAAGCTGACCGAAACAGTCCAGGGTTACAGATTAAAGTCGTATACACACTTAATAATCTTTGCTCATCTTCCTCTCCCAGACGCTGTCACCATCAACTATAAGGACTCCCGCTGGGTGGGGGCTTGGTGGCTGGGCTTCATAGTGACCGGCGTCGTGATCCTGCTGTCCAGCATACCCTTCTGGTTCCTGCCCAAGTCTCTGCCCAAAGAGGGGCAGGAGGAGAGTAAAGGCACAGAGCTGAGCACCGTGACCGAGCAGGAGAACTTCCTGCCAGACGAAACCCAGGATGAAGAGAAGGAGAAGCCTGTTACGTTTCAGGAGCTGGCTAAAGGTACCATCCATCAGTTCAAAACACTTTAAAGCACAAGTGTTGATGTTAGATCAATTACCCAGATTCAACTCTGTTTAAACATGTTCCTAAAGTGCTTTATTTGTATCCTACTGCCTGTTTTGCAGCACTTTGCTCTCTTAAAGGTTACTATGGTGATTTACTTTTCACCCACACATACTATAATCTGCTTTTGAGGACAGGTCATCACATATAACTTAACATAAATTCCAAATCTTAAACATTTCTTGATTCTCTTACACTTTTGTAATCACCTATCTATGATTAGCAGAACAACTCTACTACCTCTAAGATTTCAAACAGAATCAAATGTGTTACTCTGCAGATTTAGTGTTTTAGGGCTTGTGATTAATCATTAACCAGGTATAAGACTAGACAAACCAAAGCCCAGACCTGTTACCTTCATGCAGTCCGGGCAAGAGTTGAATGACTCTTCAGGGCAGAGAAACATGTGGAAACAGTTACCTAAAGGCCGGTCATGCCATAATAAATTACACAACATGATGTTCTAACAGTATTCACCTTTTAAAAGTCATATGACCTCTGAAAAGCAGCAAAAGAAAATGGAAACGTGTGACAATTTACTAGAAAAGTTAATAAAAATAGACTGTAAAAACTTAAACTTAATACGTTTTTTAAAGATATATTGAGGTTATGTTACATTGCTGTTAAATATGTGTAAAATAAATCTCTGTTGCTGAGTTTTGACAAGTAGACTTAGAGTTAGTGATGTAATCAAATTATAAGAGGAATTTGTAATGAAGGTAAACGTGAAAATATATAAGCATGCCTTACTTCATATATTTGTATAAACATTTGTGCTGTGAATAGACTTGAATAGTATTGATTTATATATAGGTATAAATCTAAATCTAATTTAAAAACACCTATCTATATACAGATATTTCATTCTTACAACTGCTGCAAGGAAAGGCACATTTTACATTCCTTTCAGCAACAATCATTGAGTCAATAAAACTACTTTAATTTAATGCTACAATCTTTTGTTATGATTTCTTCACCAGATTTCCTTCCATCTTTGAGGAGGCTCTTCAGGAACACCATCTACGTGCTGATGATTCTCACATACCTGGTTTCTGTCAACGGCTTCATCGGCATGATCACCTTCAAGCCCAAGTTCATGGAGCAGATCTACGGCCAGTCAGCCTCTAAAGCCATTTTCCTCATAGGTACGGCAACATCTGACCTCCATTCACTTTGCACTCGCTGGCCCAAGGGCAATGAAACAATGATGTTATTGAAGGGAAGTGTGATTGCGATAGATAAAGTTGAAATGTATCCACTACTGTAAGTGGCACGCTATGTGCTTTCCCTTTGAGTGGGTCTGTAAAGAAGCACTCTGAGCTATAATTAGCTTTTTTATGACAGTTTACTTACATGGCAAGCTGAAAGAATTATTATCTGTATATTGATAGTTAAAAGTCATTGTTAAACAAGCAACTAACATTATGTAAGTTAACATTAGACTGTTTTTTTCTTTTCCTTTTTGGATCACACTTCAACTTCAGTGTACATATACATATGTAGTTAAATAGTTTTACAGAGTGGTCCGTCTTTTTTCTTTTTCTTTTTCTTAACAAAACAACAACAATAAGCACACATGAACATGGGGTGTTTTCTTTTCAATATAAAATATTGACGGTATAGATCATTAAATAAAAGATTCAAACAGTTAAACAAAAGAAGGGCGTATCGGGGTAATATACGCTTTCCATTTCTCTCAAATTTCCTCAAATGTAAGTTCCTGGAGCCTCATAGAGAAGGTTATTCTTTCCATTACAAAGATTTCATAAATTATATCGTACCAATCATCTATAGATGGGCTTTTTGGTTTGAGCCATTTCTTTGTGATTCATTAGACTGTTTTTATCACATTATGGCATGACCTTTTGATAAATATTAAACGTTTTTATTTTATAGTATTTCCAGTGTATTGATAAGACATTTTTCTCTGCGTCCAGGTGCAATGAACCTGCCAGCAGTAGCTCTGGGGATCATCACTGGAGGTTTTGTCCTGAAGCGTTTCAAGCTGGGTGTGATGGGCGCGGCGCGGCTGGCCTTCGGGGCGTCCCTCGGGTCTCTTTGTCTGCTGACCGTTCAGAGCTTCCTCCGCTGTGACAATGCAGAGGTGGCAGGTATAACCGCCTCGTATCAGGGGTGAGTAGCATGCAAACTATCCAAACGTTAAAGTAAGTAGATTTACTGGATTTTCTTATCGCTCAGTCATAGTTTTTAGGTAGCACCGACACACCAGGGTCAAACGACAATGTTGGAATTGTAGGATTTCTTATTAAAGGGGCCCTATTAGGATAATTTTCATGTGCCTATTTATATATTTGGGCCTCTACTTTGACATGTTTACATGCTTAAATGTAGAAGGCGTCTAATGGAGGCGTTTCAGTCAGGGTGTGGCCCATCTTGTGTGTGGGAGAAGAACTTTTGGATTTTAGCCTTTAAAGACCATTTACATGCAACAAAACCTATAACACACTACAGGAAAGGGAAAAGCCCAAAAAAGTATGAAAGCGCACTTTTAATATTTTTCACTCAATGAATAAAAATGTTGAGGGCCTAAACATGTTCTGAAACGATATCTATTTTGGCAAAACATGGAATACATTTGACTTATTATAAGGTTAATGTATGGCCGTGTGCATAATGAACAGTGCCACCCAGAACACAGCCCCGTATGTACGAGTGTTCTACCTATATGACATTTCGTGATTGTAAGAAGCACGTAGAGACGACAAAAAAATCTATTTGAGGTACACCTTAAAGGTGGGGTAGGAAAGTTTGAGAAACCGGCTCGAGATACACTTTTTGTTATATTCCATGGAATGCTCTTAACATCCCAATAGCAATGAATATCTTAAGTGCTTTGACAAAAAATCCATAAAAAATGTCATCTGTGGAAGCCGTAGAACTGTAAAAAGCACGACCAATCATTTTAGCCGGCCCGGCTAAAATAACTGGATGGCCTACCTGCCTGTCAGCCTTCCATCTGAGGACAAACCTATCTTGTGCCCTCATTGGTCATGTGCGCGTTTGTGTGTGTTGGAGGAGGGGCTCTGTAAGGAAGCGCACTCGAGCTGGTTTCTCCAAAATTACCTACCCCACCTTTAAACCTAACAGGAAGTCGGCCATTTAGATTTTTGCTTGTGTTTTGACCATTTGAGGGTGCCGTACATTAACAAACTCCTCCTACAGATTGACCAACTTCAAATGTTGTCAGTACTACAATAAGACCTTGACGTTTTAAAAGTTAATGAAACTTCTAGTCTCCATGGAACCAATGTGGTGGTTTGCGAATATACGCCTTTGACAGAAAACAGGAAGTTGATTATCGGCGACGATGAGCGTCGGCATGCCCTACTGAGATTGGTGTGTGCCGCACCGTCGGGTCTTTTCAGCCGGGCCGACGCCTTTTCGGCCGAAAACCAGCCGATTCAACATTGGCCAAAGGCAGTCGGCAAAATAAATCACTCTGATTGGCTGTTCAGCTAGCGAAAAGGAAGTGAGGGACACAAACAAACTATTAAGAAGGCAAATCTGAGATCTCATTTAACTCCAGCTCTCGACACAGGTTCGGGAAAGCCCCATGAGCTTCTCGTTGTAGAGTGAAAATGGAACGCACACGCTATTTGTTGTTTGAATATCACGCAGTCTGTTCTTCTTCTCTCGGTTATCACGCAGTCTGTCTTCCGGTTGTTGTCTCTTTTGAATGACGAATACACACTACTGCCGCCTGCTGGTAAGGAGAGTTATTGCCACTCACGCATGCGCAGTTCGTACGTGCTTCTTGGCCGTCGGCTGAAGTCTTTGCGGTGTGTTCCAGTGCGACACATGGCCAAAACGCAGAGACGCGAGGTGACGCAACAGTCGGGGTCCGTCTGTGTCAGTTCTTTGTTGTCAGATTGGTGTGTCCGGGCCTTAAGGTACGATCAGGGTCCCGGCCTTAAGATGTTGTAACCCACCATGAAATGGGCCAAATTTGCAACTGAAATGTTTTCCAGAGTTAGGGATGATATGACCCGTTTCCCCTACTCATGCATCTTTTCATGTCTGTGTGCTCCAGTGGTCCTCAGCTGTCCTATGACCCACAGACCTTGCTGTCCCAGTGCAACATGGGCTGTTCCTGCTCCATGAAGCAATGGGACCCGGTGTGCGCCTACAACGGGATGACGTACGCCTCGCCCTGCCTGGCCGGCTGCCAAACCTCCAGCGGCACCGGCAAGGAGAGGGTAAGACAGCACGTTGTATTTAAGACTAAAGGCACACACATAAACTGCAAATCAAAGAAAAATAGATCTTCGTACTAGTAAGTGGACTAAACGTCTTGCAGACATTTGTTAAAGAAAAAACTGAAAATCTGAAAAAAGTTATTCTTAGTTTATTTAGTTTTTTCTGGGTAATGACCAACGTTTTTTGGGCAAAAGACAAATGTAAATCCCTCCTAAAGAGAAAAAAACTGTAGATACATTTTTTTTTTAAAACTACAGAAATATGCAAACATTTTTTTAACCTCTTCTACACCGCACCCCCAATACCGGGGGGGGGGGGGGGGGGAATGCGTCATCTGCAGGAAACAGCGTCTGAGCTGAGGGCATCTTAATATTCAATAAACTATGAATGTTTTATATCCATGTAACGGGAAGAAACTCAGTGATCTATTTTTTTTCTTTTTTTCTTTTTAAACCCACAAAGCTAGCGCCAAGCCTCTGAATTAGCTACGAGCGAAACAATCTTAAGGCCGTTAGCACAGAACTCTAGCTACACTGATCGATATACTTATTGGATCTGCACAAACAAGCTTAGATCACACCCGGAGAGTCCACAGATTATAGAAATATAAGGATCATCACTGAGCGATCAGAACTCGTGACAGGGGAAGCAAATACAGATAACACACGAGTAGCTTCTGGTAGCAAAACACGGAGATATCCACACCTTAGCTGTTATTCTGATCAAAAGTCGTGTTCAATGGCATTAAAACGAAAAAAAACGCGGCTGAAGGTTAATCCATAGGTTATAGCAATGTGTCTGTCACTTTGAAAAAATTATTGATAATCCATAATTCCATTTTTATGCAAAAATCGGAGAAGAAAAATTAGCTGCTAATGGTAGCCACCAGAGGTTAGCGCAGCTTCCGGTTTTTCTACGCGTCTCTCCCACGCCTTATTTGGTAAGATGTGTGTGTATGGGGGACTTTCCCTCGATTCCATTGGCTCTGACGGTTAGAAAGAGATGTCAATCAGCAAAATCAACCAAGGGGGGCCAGAGATATGGAAAATCCACCCAAATGACCCCAGAAGTGTTTTGTTTTTTTGCTAAACCACTCTAAAAAGATAAAATGTCTCTTGTTTTGCATCAATCTTGATACAGGGTACTTATTATATGTTGTACTTTGGATTCCTAAAGCTTTTAGTCTACCTTACCATCATCTCAGGGTAGTTTTCACTATAGTAAAAAAATTGTTTGGACGGACACTATAATTTACAGTTTTTTTACTATGTTCAATCTGAATTTTCTTTAAAATAAAAAACATCTATATTGATTATGAGTTTTCTACATCCAACTCACAGGTTTATCATTACTTTGAGAAAAAAGATTATTAATTTAATCCTTTTAGAAGGGAAGATATGGTCATTTGTTCTGGGAATGTCATTTTCGAGCCTGAGACCTGAAAAACAGGCTCAGTGCTTAACAGGTTAAAGAACAGAGGGTTTATATTAACATAAATCAGTAAAATGTAGGTTTAAACAGTGATAAAGCTGGTAAACAAGAAGCTAAAACCCATTCATTTCTTGCATAATGTATTTGACAAGGTCGCATCAAGTTCTCTTAGTCTCAGTCAAAGTTGATTCATCTCATCTCTGTTTTTTTGGCTCTTTAGGTGTTTCATAATTGCACGTGCACCGGGGAGTTGATGACTCCTGGCATGAACATGTCTGCAGTGCTGGGCCAGTGCCCCAGGATAAGCAACTGTGATTACATATTCAAAATCTACATGTCTTTGTCCGTCCTGGGGTCTTTCATTTCCGCCTGTGGAGGGACGCCGGGATACGTCGTACTGCTCAGGTCAGAGACTAAAGCTACAGGAACTCACCACTGTTATGGCTGGGTTTAACTATGCCTTGCAGTGTTTCAGTGATATGTGGCATATGCACTGATTATGTGACGTTTTTATGTGAATTGCCTGTAAAAAGATTGTAGGAAATATTACTTCTTGTGTTTTCTTGAAGCTAAAGTGCTGCTGTCTAATATGATTATGTTTGGGCATCCAGGTCGATACAGCCAGACCTGAAGTCACTGGCTTTGGGTATGCAGACTCTGATAGTAAGAACTCTTGGTGAGTATTGAAAATACATAGGGTTTGAAAAAAATCATGTTAAAAGTGTTAGCTTATACTGAAAGCAATAATGAGTGAAATCAACTCACAAGCGCATGTGACCTTTTGTGTGTTTTCAGGTGGGATTCCTCCTCCTATATACTTCGGAGCACTGATTGACCAGACATGTTTGAAGTGGGGGTCCAAGCAATGTGGAGGCCGTGGAGCATGTAGGATTTATGATGCTGATGCATTCAGGTACACTGCAACTAAACTCTTATTGCTAGAATATTCTGCCTTGAGGAAGATGTTGGTTAATAATTTTTTTTAAAGTCTGTTGTTACTTAAAGGTCCCATATTATAGTATTTTTGAACAATATATTATAAGTCTCAGATATATACAAAACATGTCTCTGAAGTATTTGGGTTGAAATACCAAACAGGTCATGCATTGTAGCATCCCATAATCCCCTCTGTTTCAGCCCTGTTTCAAAAGTGCTGATTCTGTATCTGTAGCTTTAAATGCTAACGAGCATTCGCTGGCCACGCCCCTCTGAGAGATGATTGGTTTAAAAGAACACAATGGTCCTCTAGGAGGAGATTCAAGTGATAAGGTGGGTGGGTATTACCTTGGTTGGCTAATGGTTACACAACCCAAAAAAACATTGTGACATCACAAATTGGCCAAAATCTGATCAGCTCATTTTCAGACAGGTTTTTATATGGATCAGGACAAAAAGAGATAATATTTTTTCCATTTTTAGTGTATTTATACACAAAGATCTAATGAAAAGCAATTTAATGAAGTAAAATAATAATTACAATGTGTTCCAATGTGCTTTAATTTCAGGATTACGTTCTTGGGCTTGATTACTGGACTCTACTTCCTGTCCAACATCCTGTGGGGAGGACTTTATTGTACAATTGTCAAGACACACAAGAAGTCAACACTAAGGAATCAGGCCAAGGAAAACGGACTGGATGGTGACAAGTCGGGCAATGGACACGCCAACATCAGCATTGTTAAAAACAAAGAGGACGCGGACAATGAGAGCACTATTTAAGATTTGGGAGGACGGCGACACCGTTGTATAATGCAGGTGAACGACACAGTGCTGTGAAGCCTCCATACTGGACCAAATGCGGTCTTGGTACATTGCCAGCACTCTTTGGTCTTCAACAGCACACACAGACATCGTTCTGAAATATCCACTGCTGTTTGTTCTCTAGAAAGGTCAAAGTTCCTCACTAATGCTTAGTTTGAATTAAATAAAAACAGCCAAAAGTCATGGAATGAACTGCAATCGGCACACATTGAGTTCATTTTCAACTTCAAATCAGCCAAGAAAATAAAATGTTCATTTGTTATAATCATATTTTAATCATTATAATAGTTGGCTTTTGAGCTGTGTCCATTTATACTTGAACAGTAAAAAGTCAGGTTATGATAGTAATGTCTCGTCCTACAACCTTAAATTCAAAGGGATTTATGTATATTTACATGATACAGTATGTACAGTGTATAGTTTTAAATACTCATACAAGACAGAACTGTAGTATTCGTGTTTTGTCAGTGATCGACAATTTTTTCTTTCATGTTTTCAAGTTCTTTTCACATTATTTAGCTAACCTTAAAGCTCTCTGTGGCTTATTTGCAAATGTGCTTATGACAAGAAGTTTATTTTTATATTTGTTTTATTTACAGGCTATATCTCTGTCAGATAACCTTTATACTGACTGTTGCCCCAGCGACCTTTATCTCAGCCGTATGACTCTACACACACTTCTTGTTACATCAACATTTTACATAACATTACAGGTCATGGTCGTTCATAAAGAAAAAGTGCGTTGTTAAGCTAGTATCTGGGAAAGTCCACTGAAGCTTGGACAGTGGACTAAGAGTGAGTGCAGTATAACTAGTTCTTATACACTTTAGTCATCAGTGAAAATGTATCATCATCAAATAGTTTTTATAGAGTGTTTTTGAATCGTTACTGCCTTTTTTTCTTATTTTACACTTTTGTCGATCGTCCTTAGCATATCGTTAAACATTAAAGACAAATATCCACAATTTATTTGTAAACCTCGAGTCTTTATTTGTTTTTTTTGCTGTCTTTCTTTTATTGTAACATGCTCTGCTAAGGTTGACATTCTTCTATTTTTTTTTCATTTATCAAAGTCAAAGTCAGCTTCATTGTCAAAATGTCTACATGTGTTTTACATACAGAAATCTTGAGATACAGTTTCCCGCAGTCCCACAGTGTGACACATATACATAAATGTAACGGTATGTCCTGTTACACTTTGTTGTGCCTCAATTAATTAAGTTCTACTTCCCTTTTTAGCATCTTTCAGCAAATAACTTTTTCGTTTTCTGGCACGCCACTTTACCGTTTTGCTTCAATCTCACCGGTTTTTGGTGAAAAGGCCTCAAAAACACGCAGTAAATCTTACCTAGAGCAAGTTAGCGACATGTTGAGGAACACAGTGGAACATTTAGCAACATAGTGAACCAGAGCTGAAAAATTGGACATTTCTTTAACAGGTTGCCAGAAACACTGCTAGCATGGTTAAACACTGAGGAACTAACTAACAAAAGAGGGACCCCATGCCGTAATCTCAAAAAGAAAAAAGACAACGTCCAAAAACAGATCTATAGATAACACGTGATAATAGGCAAGGTCAATGGCACCAGTCACACAGGGGTCATTCATTTTATATAATGACAGTGCAGGCAGACACACTGGATGAATTCCTTTACAATTAATTCTGGAAAAAAATTATATATATTTTGAACTTTTTAACCATATTTTCTCTTTTACAAAAGGTAAAAAGTAGGACATTTGCTGCCATGTTGCCTCACACCCTTACCTTGCTTTCTTTTAAACCTTTCCAATCACAGATTTAATTGTAAAGCATGAGCCTCAACAATCATTCTGGACTGCTTAAAGTTGAAGGTTGTTATTTCACAACCTGGTCCATCAAACTTGGACTGTGTTTACTCTGGGCCTCACCTGATGTACAGTATTTTATCTTACTTTTATTGGTTATTTGTAACCATATCATATAAAAGATTGCAACTAACATGACCATTGATTCCAATATTGTATGATCCTTTATTAGTATACCAATATGCCCCAAATGTTACAATTCAATGTTTCACATTTTCCGGGTTTCAATGGAAATTATAAAATATCTTCTGTATTTTACCATAAATGTATATTTCCATGATATCTTACATTCCCTTGATGTGTTGCACTGTGTACAGTGTGAGGTTTTACCAGCAGGTGGCACCCTACACAACTAAATATCCACTGTAAGGTACTGCATTGCCCCTGAAGGTGTCTCACTGCTTCTAATAGAACAAACCAAAACCCATCAGAGAGTAACGTTTACAAAAAATAGAAAGATTATGTTAAAATCGTGTTAAAACATAGTTCCAAGTACTCATTTGCAGCAGTTACAGTAGCTGATGTCTGAGGCTCTCTGCATTCCTGTCTAAATGCACCTGAAACTAGATACAGTGACAAAAGACATGTAAAACATTCTCACCAATGCAAAATTCTGGGGCCTATTATGATTTTTCAGAAAGAAAGAGTGGAAAACACTTTGTTCACTGTTTCTGTGCAGGAATGTGAAGGCTCTTAATCTTAATCTTTAGAATTTATAAAGGGGTCAAAGTTTATTAGGTGACCTGCTGTTAATACAGCGTTCAGTGACTCACTCTTAAAAAAGCAATCCAGCACACCTACAGAATCAGGTGGGATGATTTTATTGTGAAGGTTTTTTGGACTTTTCTTCTTTCCCATTAAACATCTTGTGAGAAAAATAATCCTGGTTTGGAGTTATGAATCTGTCTCCCCTTCACCTCCCCATGTTCTCTTGTTGCTGTCCCCCTCCTGGACTGGTTGGCATGTGTGTGGAATAAAAATGTGAGAGGCCTTTTGTCCCGCTGGTTCCACTAGCCCTCACACAGGCAGTTTGGGGAGACACATGGCTGCTTCAAGAGGAAGAGCAGAAGAAGAAGAAGAGGAGACTCCGGCCTGGAGATGCACTAGCTATTTTATCAAACTTCCTCAGTAGTTGCCTTGCAGTGATTTGTTATCTATTTTTTTTTAAATTTGAATTCTTCTGATAAGACCAGGGCTCTCTGTCTAAGATCAGGCGGGAGTATTAAAAACTAGGCTAAACCTGAGGGGGATTACTGCAGTTGTGAAGTGAAAACCCTCCTGGTTAGCTGTGGTACTTTATTACAGGTTTCCTGCCTTCTCACTTGTTCAACAGGAGGAATCAGTTAGCATTATACACCATTTTCCCTCTCTGACATGGATTCAACCCGCAGCTCCTGACGTTTACTGAGCTGAGAGAAGACGCTTTGGTTTACTCAGGTATGGTACAGCTGCTCTGTTTTCACTTTGCTGATTCAGACATGCATTTTAATATCATACACTCCTAATTGAAGTAAATAATAATAATAATAATAATAAGTCATTTTTAAACTTTCTTTTTTAAATATTACATTGTCATTTTAAGGCGCCCTTGTGACAATCTTTGACAGAATATTTCTAGCTTTGATACTTTAGTATGCAATCGATTACTGATAGAAAAAGATTGTTAAAGTATTTGATACTCTTTATTATGATGTGAACCACAAATACATCTAATTATACAAGAGTTGTATGTAATGAGTGTGTAAAAGTATGACATTTTGGGAAATATTCGTTCTAATGTTTAAGAGTCTAATGAGATTATTGATAACGTTAACCTGCAACTCTCAGTCAGAGAAGAAAACTAGCTTTTTCCCCCAAAATGTTAAACTATTCTTTTAGTTCTACCCTCAACTTTGCTGCTACTAGATTTTAACATAAGCAGTTACAAAATGGGTAAATGAATGAGTGAAGGCACTTTTTACCTACTTTTCTTTGATCGATCTATTGTTTGCCCTGCAGTGGCCAGCAGAGGTCTGCCAAGTATTGATCGTAGGATGGAGGAAGCAGGAGAGGACCTAGGTCAGATGGCCAGCCAGCAGGCTCTGTGTGACGCTGATCAGAAGACCAGGAAACGCCCTGGCATCTCCACTCTCAAGGTACTGAAGCTATCAAAAGCAGAAAAGCAGAAAGGGATATTTGTTCTGCAGCCAGGTAAAACATAGAAAACAGAGATGTAGGCACATGCAGGTACAAAAAACCCAAGACAATACATAAATACATCAACAGGAAACCACAAGTGAAAAACGAAACACCATGTGTTTCTTATTTTGAGCATTCAAACCTCAGTTAATGTCCAAAACAGTTGTATAAATAGTGGAAAGATGGATGGATCAATGCTTACAATCTGAGACACATCATCATCATGGTCATTTGAGCATTTTAAGGGATAAGCTTCCCCCAAAAGTACCTAAAATCAAGCCAAGAGATGATCTCAATGATGTTTTCAAAAATCTTGCCAGGCCACATTTGTCTCTCAGCGTATTAACTTCCGTCAAACACTTCAGTATCAGTCCTGAGATCAGCATTGCCTGATTGCAGCACGACATCAGCATGAATGAAGCATTTCTCCCAAAACACATCAATAATTTGACTCCCTACTTTTTCATTCTTCTTAGCTCAGTAGATGTAAAGCTGAAAGGCAACTTTTTAGAATCCCTATCAACAAAACTCTAACAGCCAAAAACATTGAAATATACACACTGTTTTATGAGATCTACCCAAGGTTTTTAAGAGAATTCACAGACCAAGCCAAATCAGGCTTACACTGGAAGTGAAAACCTCTGTACAACATAATACATTTCAGCAAAACATACAGGAGAATTTCAATAATCCCAGATGGGAATTAATTTATAATAAAGCGACTCCAGGGTGCCCACACAGAGAGTAAAGCCTCTGGAGGCTGTTATGAAGAAGGAAGAAACTATTAAGCTTTTTTAGTTTGTTGACTTTTGTTAAAGTGGCTATAATAATTATACTTATGATAACTATGTGTATATATATATATATATAGGTTTAAACACATTAGTTGATTGTTTACCTGGAGTAGCATAGCATTAACATTAGGAAAATGAAAGTAGATGTAGCATGAAAGTTTAATATTTATTTGATATTGACAGAAAACGTTTTATTCACAGTATACAACTTGATTAAACATGTGTAATAATGGACTTTTTTGATGACTTGTGTTTTCCAGTGGTTTATTGTGGCATTATCCTTCGCCTGCTTCTCCAAGGCTCTGACAGGAACATACATGAAGAGCTCCATCACTCAGATCGAGCGACGTTTCGACCTCTCCAGCACGCACGTTGGACTCATAGATGGGAGTTTTGAGATGGGTCAGTCTATCTTCTGATTTAACCCTTCATCTTTTGAGCATCTGATCTCTTACACTCCTGACTCTTCTTTCAGATTGATACTTTAGCTCATGATTCTCGAAATGTGCTCTTGGTTCCTGTTTCTTGGAGGTAGGCAACTTGCTGTTTCTCGCTGCGGTCAGCTATTTTGGGGCCAAGCTACATCGGCCCAGACTAATCGCTGTGGGCTGTTTCATCATGGCTGTAGGGTCCTTTCTCACCGGCCTGACACACTTCTTCATGGGACGGTAAATGCCAACAGCCTACTTTTTAGCAAAACAAAACTGGTGAAAAAATACCTTTGAATCCTGTTTTATATCTCATTGTTTCACAGCTACACATACAACACAGCCATTCAGGTTTTCCACAATGACAGTGTAAGAATTGCTGCCTGTGCGGTACCTGAAATTCAGATTCGTTCTGAAGAAGACGACAAAGGTAAGACTGCTGAATTACAACCTAATGGTCACATGGATGTGTTTATGAACACTATATGGCAAACCTCTACACATGGAGAAATTAAGCTATACTAGTTGCCGCTGCTATCGTCATTGAACAAGAAACCAGAACAGTAGCAGGAACACAGAGACGGCCTTAACATGAAACCTGGTTCGAAAACCTTAGCAACTCACTGGCTTTCTTTCAATCATCCATGGAATGCACTGATCCTGCTCTGACCTTCAAAGCCACTCACTTCCTGTGCCGTCTACATACTGCACATAGTCACTGCACTGATCCATTGGATGTGGACTACAAGGGGCAATGCAAATAAGAGCTGAAAACCAGCCGAATAAACGCCATCGTAGGTTAAAAAATAAATAATGATAATTTTGGAGGCGAGGCCGAGAATAATAATGGAAAAAACTAAATGTATTACAAAAAAATATATATTTTCTGAAATGTTGGAAATGGTACACTTTAAAAATGATGAAGTTCCTCTCAAAATAGTGGGTTTTCTTTGACCTATTTACCCCTTTAATTTCAGAAAAAGTCTGTGTTTTCAATGTTCCTTCTAGATGTGCGATTGTAAACTTGTTTTTATATGTAATATGTTTTCCTACCAACAAAGGCCCTCATATGCCGTCATGCTGAATGCTGGAAAGAGAAACAGAAAAATAATATGTTGGGCTATCAGGTCTCATAGCATCATTCAAAAGGCAGACATCTGTCCTATTTATGGAAATAAAGAAATCTAGGACACGTATTTTTTTATTGTATTTTGTTGTATATTTTGAGTAACTTCTCCTATTCTACTCGATTCTATTTCTCTGAGATGGGCTGCAGCTGAGATGTTGCTTTAGTCTTTCTATTGTTGAATCATGATTCATTCTTCTATTAACAATAGCAGATCATAAACCCACAGACGGAAACGTACTGATCCTGTTCAGAAGTATTTACAAAGGAACACAATGGAATAGATATGGAATATGAAAATCACATACAATGCAGTGCTACGCAAGCTTAAAGCCACACACAGATATTGAATTTCATTGTATTTGATTTTCTCAATAACACAAGAGCTTTGGATACACATACACCAAAGTCTTCTTTTAGAAGCAAAGATATCATGAACATCTGTCAAAAGTTATTGTAAATACACACACACACACAAGCACACACACATACACACACACATTCACAGCAATTATGTTTTTTTTGCCATGCAAAATCTCCAAAACCATCTTTGTGACATAATTAATATAATGCTTTCTTATTGTGTCTTTATGAAGCCTGTGTGAGAGAGTCTGGTTCCCACATGTGGATCTATGTGTTTCTGGGGAACGCTCTGCGGGGGATCGGAGAAACCCCGGTTACCCCTTTAGGCATCTCTTACATCGACGACTTTGCTAAAGCAGAGAACTCACCCTTCTATATAGGTAAGAAATACATCTTCATCTTGATTTTCAATTGGGGTTTGAAATGATGATAAAATATGTCCATTTCTTTACACCTTCACATAGTTTGAAGTTGTTTCCTAATCATGTGCATCCTTTAAACACAGCTTGTCTTCAGACCATAACTCTCCTGGGCCCCATGTTTGGTTTCCTCCTGGGCTCCTACTGTGCCAAACTGTATGTTGACATTGGCTATGTTGATATGGGTAAGTGTAATGCATTTGCTTTGCATGTATCATCAGTTATAGTTAGCTTCCACTCTAAATGCTAATATTAGCTTGATTAACTAGCCACCGCTAACTAAATCTGCAATGATTATTCCTCATTTCAGTAGCCTATTGCCAGATTTAGAATAATTATTGTATTTTTAAACAGGTAATCAGATTTGGTGTAGGATATTTTTTTGTTGAATGTGTCTTGCGAGTGCGGCTTTCGTTCTATATGTATGTCCTCAAAATGCGTAAATGTTTACCATTTGCTAAGCTAGTTAGCCACCTAGCAAAGCGTATAGAAAGTCTGAACTTGGTTTATGCTAAGAAAGTTGTTGTCTAAAATTCATAATTTGAATTATAAGTTAGTTTCTTTGGTTTGTCAGAACAGGTTAGTGAGTGTCTCTTTGAACTAATTTATTTGTCAAACAAAGACAATCAGTCCGCCTAAAGTGTGACAAGTATCCTACCCCTGAAACAAAATTGGGTTTCCACTATTTTCACTTCACCCAAGGAAAGTAACTAACTAGTAAGTCATTTGTAAGAAGTAAAGAATTAAACGTCCTGCTCCTGCTCACTCAAATGCTCTTTTCTGGCACCCAGAAAGTGTGGCCATCACCCCTAAAGATGCCCGCTGGGTGGGGGCCTGGTGGTTGGGCTTCATGGTGTCCTCCGTCCTCCTGCTCCTCTCCAGCATTCCCTTCTGGTTCCTGCCCCGCATGCTGCCGAAGCAGGAGGGAGATGAAGGCAAGCTGACTTCCTCACGTGAGACAATAGAGGTGACAAAGGATGCCTCCAACAACAATCACGCCATCAAGCTGACTGACATCGCCAAAGGTTGAGAGAATTCTTCTATACTTTTAATACTACATTTCAAATTGGTATTCTTCAGAATGGTAGTATGTGTGCAGGTTTATGGTCTTTGCTTGTGTTTTTTAAAAGATGTATTTCAACAGGGTTTCTCCCCTCGCTGAAGCGCCTGTTGGGAACTCCTGCCTACTTCCTGCTCCTTTGTGGGAGCATCCTGAAGTTCAACTCCCTCATTGGCCTGATCACCTTCAAGGCCAAATACATGGAACAGCAGTTTGGACAGTCTGCCTCCAGAGCCAACTTCCTCATAGGTAAAACAAAAAGAAAATGTGTATATTTAGATGCTATCTGTAGATAAACTCTCGTATGTACATCTCTGCTCTTCCCACAAGGGATTATTGCTGATTAATGTCAAACATAAGATGTATGGGTTAGCAGTAAATGCTAAAGTGTAGTCTAACAGTAACAAGTGGAGCAGTTGGAGAAGTTGTTGTTTTGACAAAAGCAAATTATGACAAAGTGCAAGGAACAGCTGTAGCAAACAAATAATGCCACCACTAAAGATTGTTGCTCTGCTAATGACATGAATAATTGTTTCCAGATCCAGTCAATACATTGTTTTTCACCGTTTGAGTCAGACTCTTTCAAAATATCTTCTTTTGAAATCCGACTTGACAAATGGCACCACCTACTGCTCACCTCAATGCACATCTCTTAAAATCGCATACTGGTTGTGGGTTTGATAAACAATTAATGTGCCGAATAAAAATAAATTATACATTTGGATGAAAACCTGGCTAGTGTCTTTAGATAAAGTTCAAGAGTCTGATATGAAGAGACTTGCTTCTTTAGGAGGCTCCACACCACTCTGGAGAAGAGTAAAACATTGCAGGAGTCATTGTTTGATTCAATCTGGCTTTGTAAGAAAAGGAGCAACAGGAACATTGTTGATCCGTCATTATGGTAGTCGTGTGAGATATTAACACTTGCTAAGAAAAGCATCAACATAACTGCGGTGACGTCATGAAGTGGCTCGGGTTTGGTCTGTGGAAAAGCAAACTGTTTCTTAAGTTGTTTACAAAGTTAAACAAATAGTTTGAACCAAGCAGCACAGAAGTAGAACATAACTACATTCAGTGGATAAGGGAAACCAGTGTCCAGTGTGGTTTTTCTTCTAGGTGTGTTGAACCTGCCGGCGGTGGCTTTAGGGATCTTCCTGGGAGGGCTGCTGATGAAGCGGTATAAACTGAGCCTGGTGTCAGGAGCTCAGATGTCCTTTGCCACCTCCTTCCTCGCCTACCTCCTCCTGCTGCTACAGTTCGGCACCAAGTGTGACAACATCCCCATGGCTGGGCTCACCATCTCATACAACGGGTCAGTGCTGAGGGTATATAAAGACGATCAGGAACCAAAATGATGGACCCTAGGAACTATTTTTACTGCCTCAAGTTACTATTCAGATTTTATTTGCAGCTAATATATAAAATATAAACCCTCTTTGCCCATCAGGACGCAGGGTATATCATCTGACAGAAGCATGCTGTTCTCAGAGTGTAACAGAGACTGTTCCTGTTCAGCAGAGGAGTGGGACCCTGTGTGCTCAGACAGCGGCATCACCTACATTTCTCCCTGTATGGCAGGCTGCATTGGCTCCAGTGGTCACGGCAAGAACACAGTAGGGATGCACACAGGGAAATTATCATTTTTTTTCTTTAAAAAAAAATAAATAATTTCATGCAGTATTACTGCCATCTTCCAAGACTAATTCCACAGAAAAACAACTCAGCAGCCACACCAAGATCTCTCCCATTTCATCCTCTCTAGTAATTCTCCTCTATCTACGTATGTGAAATATTTACTTTATCAAACCACTTACAATATATCTTTCTCAGTTACCAACTATATTCTATTTATTTGACATTTTAAACACATATTATTTTATTATTGTCCTAAATTAATAAGTGTTTGACAATAGTAAGGTCCCATACGTCAGCATTTTTTTTACTTTATCCCATTTTTCACCTATTTTAATGATATTATAAAACACTTTTACAAAGGTTTATTGTATGTCTTAACAGCAACAGGCAGTTTATTCAGCAAAATATCCAATGTGTTTCCATCCAAGGTCACGCAGTGTCTGTTACAAAATGCTCAAAGGTCCTTTTATCGCCCTTGAGAGTGACTGAAATGTATGATACATTTTATTTGCATACATTTTTCTGTTCTTCAAATTATAAATACATGGTTTCCAGTAAGTCATCACGCTTCATCTCAGTGTCTCTCTCTCCCAGGTCTTTCACAACTGCAGCTGTGTGTCCGCCTCCTTCCCGGCCGGCAGCAGCACGTCAGTGCGGCTGGGTCAGTGTCCTCATGCTAAAGACTGCAGCCGGAGTTTCACGTCCTACATGGCTGTGTCCGTCCTCAGCTCCTTCATCAACTCTCTGGGAGCCACGCCTGGCTACATGGTCATCATACGGTCGGTGCACCCATTTCAGAGCAGGGAATCATGATAATAGGGGAAATAAGTGCTACTGCGTAATTTTTATGATTTGAGTCTACGTAAGCCTTCTAATTATAGCTTCATATTTTTCATTCAGACACCATCAGCAGCCAAACCCTATTAAACTGTGCAATTCAGATTTAATCTCTTAGTAATACTGATACACCAATAAACACGTCATATATTGCAGTAATATACGCATATTTTTACTTTTACTATTAGGCTATTTGTTTGTTTTTTGTGTTATATATATTTCTGTGCATGTAAATGGTCTGCAATTTGGTGTTGTTTTGTCATTTCAGATGCATCTCACCAGAGCTCAAATCCCTTGCGCTGGGTATCCAGGCCTTGGCAACAAGGACTCTGGGTAAGATTTCTTTTTTTAAAGAATTTCTTACTTTAAAATTCAGACTTATCTCCTTAAATCTCCTGTGGGTAATGTCCACAGTATCGACATTTACATGTCTAATGTGTAATATGTAATTGTAAAGCGCTTTGAGCATCTGTAAAAGCGCTCTAATTAAAAAATGTAATCCATTATTATTATTATTATTATTAAAAAACATTTGTACATTTTTTGAAAAAATCAAGCTCTTCTCTGACAAATAAAGGTTTTTCTAGTTTGTGTGTGGCAGTCAAATTAAGATGGGAAATGTGAAAAAAAGGACAGAATATTTCACTCTGACTCTCACTTTGGGCATTACCTTGTCCGTAGGTGGACTTCCTGCACCTGTGTACTTCGGGGCCCTGATTGATTCCACTTGCCTAAAGTGGTCGGTCAAAAAGTGTGGGGGCAGGGGAGCATGTCGCTTGTATGACTCTGATATGTACAGGTACGCCAAACAAGGAAATAGAATGGGATTAATTTACAAATGGTTGTTTCTTCAACACCAATGCAATAAATATTTCTTCCCTTTACTACTAATAATTTAGTCCATCTTCTCTCACTATCTTCAGGACGATCTTCCTGGGTCTGCTCACGTGTCTCAGCGGTTCTTCCTACTTCTTCATTATCGCGGTCATCGTCCTCCTCAGACGACAGTTTAAGAAACCAGAGCGAGAAGCAGAGACACGGAAAACGAAACCTGTAAAGAAAAAGGATCTTGAACTTCAAGAAGCGTCCAACACCACGGTGGATCAGCCCAAAAAAAACTGTCAAGCTCCCAAAGTCTGGGTAAGAGTCACGACAGAATTGGAGGAGGGTGACAGAAAGGAACAGCTGCTCGATGGCGGACTCAACTCCACAAATATCACCCAGGAGAGGCAACAGCTCACACCCCTGACAGACATCACTGTTGAGTTCACTCCTCCTTTAAGTGAGGAAGTAACGATAGAGATGCATGGGCTGGAGTCAGAAGAGAACCTAAGAGACAAGGTTTGTGTGGAGAATAAAGCACAGGGGGACCAATTCACAGAGGACAATAAGTTAGATGAAAAAGCACAAAAAAAACAAAGAAACTGATGGACCACAAAACTGAGGTGTGGTCTCATACAAACTGAAACTGATCTAGATACGTTTCTTGAATTAGGCTCAAAGTTTACTTGGATTTTCAAGCGGAAATCGATGTTTCACCTTCTACGCTACCAGTATTTCTTTGCCCTCTTTTATGACAGTATAGAGCTGTTATATAACACTTAGCCCTGAGGAGGAAATGGGCTACCAATGATCCCATGCTCACAACACTCAAAACATTGACTTCTAAATGCACATGATGCCTGGACTGAAAAACCTCACAGAGAAAACATACTGGCTAAAATGGATGTTTTTGTCAATAAATGTCAATACCAACTGTTGTGGAATATTTTCCAAGGCCCATAACTTTGACCCAGTGTATCAGTTCAAACTGTCCTGACTGAGCACAGGCACCTGTAACCTTGGCTGCTGTGCTCTCAGTGTTCTGTCTCCCTGTTCCTGCCTGTTGGCGTCAGCTGATAGAGGTGTTATCATTCTATCTTGTTATGCAGCATGTTGATGATGCTCTCTGAACTAGCTAAATACATGGGTCTGGGGTAGAGTTCTTCAGAATTGACGTGGCAACTCTACCGTGAAGTCAGAACCTCTGACTCTTGGACTTGTGATGTGAATCCTCCGGCCGTTAACTCCAAATAAACCATCATGTGTTTGACATCAAAGCTACTGCTCCTACCGTGTCTCCTTCCTGAGTCGGTGACTCCCAGTGCATAGCTACACAGAAGTTTCCTCTACACCAACATGCTAAAGAAAGTTATGTTCCTTTGCCAGAATGTGTGACTTAAAGAGGCCCAATTTTGTTTTGGGGCTTTCGCCTTTTATGTACTGGGATTTTGTGCATGTAAATGGTCTGTGAATGTTAAAATCCCAAAGTTCCCTCCAGAGGGAGTTTCTCTCCCACACACTCCTCCCCTGCTTGAAAAATGAAGACCTTTCTGAACAGTAGAGAAGGTAAACGTGTCACAGTAGAGGCACAAAATATGAACCTGTAAATGAACATAATACGTCATCTTTATCAAATAATTCAAACACACGGTATGTCATAGTAAATTAAAAGCAGAACAATTATTTGAAATATGCTAAAAAGTTCTGTGAAGCGAAGACGAACTACATATTAGTGCAAATTAATTTAGAGCAGATATCAATGTGAGCAATGTGTTATTAGTCAGACAAACAACAAACCACCAGCAGTTAATGAATGACCAGGAGTCATTCATTAACTGTCATTTGTTTTCCCAGTACAGGTAGGTGTTGATGACGTTAACATGTATTTAATTGTGTCTGTGGATGAATCAGACACAAACTAACTACGTGTGTCACTAATATTTGACAGATATTACACAACATCTCTGTTTTTATAATCTGATTATGTAATCTGGTTATTCTGTTACTTACTACCTAAAACTGTTTGTACGCAGGTATTGCACATACATCTGAGTGTCTATCATTAAAGTAGAGTGGACACATCCCCAGTTAACAATAATAAACATGCATAGTCATTATCAGAGGTTACAGCACTTTTACCTTTCTGGCACTGGCTACCTATCGGCTAATTATTCCCCAGGGACTCTTGACCCCTCTCATGTCCTGCAGGAATACTAATAGAGCAACACTGAGCTCTTACTTCCTAGCCCAAATCCATGTATTTCTTTCCGTGACCTGAGAAATAAATTGAGATGCCACCCATGTCTGCCTAAAATACCAAAGATATCCAAGTGACAAGAAAGGAGAGTGATTCAAGAGACACGTTTCCCCAGACTTTAGCCTTTAAAAATAGACATATAATCCTACATATACACCAACCCCTTAATTTATCTCACTTTCTCTACTTTTATACATGTCATTTATTTCAAGATTATGCACATTAACCTTTCTAAACTCCCTGCTCGAATCCACTGGAGTAGTTAAATATTTAATAGGTAAATTACATATTAAATTAGTTTGCTGACGACATGGTGCATTAGCAGGCATTGGAAATAATCTGTACACTCAATCAACTTTGATTATGCTGTACGTGAAAACTATATAATTCATGTTAAAGTAGAACAATTATCCTGTCCCTATGTTTTTGTCTGCAGTTGGGAAACTTACAGGAAACACAAGGAGGTGTTCATGGGACCTTGATGGGTTTCAGGGTGTTAAAAATCCATTAGCAATGCACTATGTTTCTCAGTTATCTCCAAGCTGTGGTGAGAACCAGCAGCACTTACCAGCAGCCTGTGGTGGCATCTCCCCACTGAGACTGTGGGATAATCAGAAACATGGTCCAGGTGGTCCTTTCAAATGTAATGTTTAATTTATTTTCTTGCATTCACTGATAATTGCATTTTTATGACTGCTCCTACAGTATATCAAGTGGTTACCTCACATGAGAGGCATCTTATTGATCTTAAAACTTCCTCAGACATGAACCCTGAGGATACATGTGAGATTTGGGCACGTTTAGACAATTTACGTTGTAGTCATACCACTTCTCATGCACAATATTTCATGAAACAGGAAGTTGGTGTAAACGCATGGTATATTGTCCAACTGGCCCCAAATCTTACATACAATGACTTGTATTGTTCACGACTGAGTCATAGTCATGAGACAAACATTTAGTTTACATAGAAATGACACTGTGTGGTCTTGACATAAAATAGAGCGGAATAATGTTTTTCAAGCGTGCGTTCTCTAGCCATCATAGTAGACACATGCAGGAAGTGGTGTAAGATTAATGTTTCTAGCCACCTGACAATACTTAGTCCATGATAAACTCTATGATAAATGCTCCTTTTAGTTTACATAAGCAGCAACCTCCAGGTTTGAGATGTCAAGCTCATGTGTAAGTGCCTTTAGCCTGCAATCTCTCTTATAGCCAGCAGAGGGCGACTCTATTGGTTGCAAAAATAAGTCTGATTGTATGGAAGTCTACGAGAAAATGATCCTGCTTCTTACTTGATTCAGTACTTTAGTAAACATTTTACTGGCAAGTCTGTTTTCTCAATCACTAGTTCATTGAAGCACAATTTATTTATTAAAATAGTTTGCGATTTAGAACAAAAAAAGACAATGAGGATTTTGGTTGACCCTCTCAACCAAATTAGTAAAGTTACAACTGTAAAAAAACAAAACAACAAACATATCTAAGATGCCTTAATGCGTTGGTGATAAATATCTGTGGGGAGTTCACTATGACAACATTAACATTACACATTTTAGCCCATTGTTGATACAAAATTATTATGATTTTAGCAGTTTTGAAGCGAAGAATAATTACTAAATATTATTAATATTTGCTTTTAACTTTTACAAATCAAGCGAATGCTAATTGGCCATTTTTCAGTTTCGCAGGTCACGTCACGTCAAATGCTACTCACAAGTGTTACCGTCACTTCATTAATTAGTACTTTGTTTGTGACGTGTCCCATCAAAATAATGAGACACCATTAATTATTAACGATAATTCATCTTCATATTTATTATTCATCGTCCATGAAGCCCAGAGGGAGGCTGAAGGAGGGCCAGAGTTTGGTGACCTAAAACTTCATTATGTGTCTCAAGGTAAATAGAAAGACAACTTTCCTCTCCCTGGTGTGGGTTTACCGTGGGTCAGTCCCACCTCCGGGGCTGATGACGAAGGTGATGATGAGGATGTTGACGTACAAAGATTTGTGTGATTGTGTGTGTTCACTGTGAAAATGAGCATTTGCCTGCGTGTGTACAAGTTTAAGAGTGTACATTAGAGTAACGCTGAGTGTGCTTATGGCATATAGAAGACCCTCTTAGATTTCCCCTCCTCCCCCTTCGTCATCCCTATTCTGTGTAAATGAAAATGCAAGGCTATATTTGGACAGAGCTGATGTCACAAGTGGTTTGAGCGATGAGCCTATAACTGTTGGAGCCGGTTTGTGTGACAGTCCGACAAACCCTGGACTGCTACAGTGACAGACTGGGATCTGCTGGGTACTGAACACAACTCAAAGTAAGTTCTCTGTCTTTCCTCAGGCTTAGCTTGGCTTTTTATACAAGTCCAATTGGTTGTTTTTATTTGTATACAAATAGTTTTCTTTGAATTTAAAATCTCTACCTCTTTCAGGATTGTGTTTTCTTTCTTGAAATTTGACAAAACACTGAACTACTGCATATTATTATTTGAAAATGTAAATGGTTTCTAAGGACACTTTAAATAGGACTTGTCGCACAACAGGGAAATGTGCCATAAAATGATGATGTAGAAATGTGGGATTATTTTATCTATTGTAAGAAAGCATCACAAAAAGCCATCTATACAATAATACTTTTTTTTTAAAATCTGCACACAACACAAGAATAACTATTCCGACTTGAAATTGATTTGGATCAGTCCTTTTTTTAATGCAAAATGTCCAATACTTCTAATTTTCTATTATCAGATCTTCTATATTAAATAAATGAATTATAATTTGGTTTAAGATTGTTGGTTGGATAAAAAAAAAGCATTTGAAAGATATTGCTTTGGCCTGAGAGAAATAGTGAGGGGAATTGTTTTGTAAATGTTCTCCTATGTTAACACATTAATACATTATTAAAGAAAATCATCAACAGATTAATCCATATAACAATTATTGTTTGTTGCCAACCTAATTATAACTATTAAGGTGAGCTTTTGCAGGTGCTGGTGTACAATCAATGCTGAATTATTGAGCAAATATTTAATTGTGTATTCTGTTTTTGTCCTAATTGTAATGACACGCATCTATGTAATTTGAACTCTTACATTTTGTACGGATGATAAAATTGAATTGGTGTCTTTGTTCCTGACTTTTGGCCGGGTGTTTTTGGTTATATATTGCACGCAAATTCCTCTGTTTTCAATAGCCTTCTGTAACCATGAATCAAGTGCTGTTCTTGCTGTGTTGATTCAGGTAATCACCCTACAACATGGATCACTTGAAGATGTCTGTGCTCCTCCTGATGCTGCTTGTGTTGCTGCGCTGCGTCTCTGCTGCCCCACGCTACAGGTGAGTTCATATAGGGGGGTGTCGCTCAGGATATAGTGTAGTCATCCATTAAATGGAAGTGATTATATCCCCAGCCCCTGCACTCATTTAATATGTTCATGTGTCCTTGCAAAATACTTAACCCCAAATTGCTCCTGATGGCAATGTGTCAAAGTTTTCCTTGACCAGGTTGCACATTGGCAGGCTCTGTCTGAATGAATATGTGTGAATGAGTGAATGCTGACTTCTGTATGTAAAAGCGCTTTATGAAATGCAGTCCATTTACAATGTGGCTGTGCACTCATTTAGTGGTTTAAGATTAGGGGCAGAGTTCAAAGACTTTCACTTAGCTGA